AAGCAATTCTCTTGCTATACCCGGTCTGGTAACACTGGCGGGTATGGAAATTTGGCATACCCGGTCGGGTAACCTGTTGTACCCGGTCGGGTATCCGTTCCAGAAGCCCGTGGGTATAAAACTTCATCATACCCGGTCGGGTAACCTACTATACCCGGTCGGGTATCCGTTCCAGTGGGTTTACCAGGCCAAAAATCTCAGTATACCCGGTCGGGTGACCTGCCTTACCCGGTCGGGTATCAGCCTGGTTTCATTGAATTTTCCCCGATTTGACCCTAAGTCAGTTTGCAATTGACCCCTAGGACTTATAACTTTAGTATAAGCCTAGAAACATATAAAATCTAGTACATTACCTGCAACGGAGTCCGGGTTTGCTCGCGCATCCGCCTCGGTCATTGCATACACACGTGCCTGGGTCCTCCCTTGGTTAACGGACGCGGCATTGCTCGCCGTAGGTCAGCCCCTTCCCGTGCCGGCCTGTGATGGTCCCGCACGTCCCCTACTAGCCGTAGGTCCTTCCATAGCCCCCGATGGTCCCCCTCCATTCAACATTGGGCAAGAAAGCTTGAGGTGACTAGTGCTACCGCACTTGTAGCACCGGGGTGGTGCATTGCACTTCCCGGCATGATTCTTGTTACAGTTTAGACACCTCGGTGGCCTCACGCTCCCCGAGCTGTGCCCTTGCCCTCCTGGACCCTTGCTCTTCTTTGCCGGTGGTTCCGGCGCCCTAAATGAACTTCCATTCCCGGCGTGATGTTTCCGAGAATGGTCTTGGGGTCCAGAATTTCCCCATCTCCTCTTCTTCGCCTCTTCGGCGTCTCTCTTCTTCCTTTCATTCCACTTGGCTTCCCCAAGTAGCCCTTGATCCACAATCTCACTAAAAGTCATGTGATGATTGTAGGTGGCCCTATCACGGATATCCAACTGTAGGGTATCCCAGAAGTGATTAGCCATGCGGTTCTCATCCATGGCGTACTCAGGTATGTATCGTGCCAAGTCCCGGAACCTCTGTTCCAATTGCCTTACCGAGCACCCATCCTCCTGTGTCAAGGTCATGTACTCCTTCCTTTTCTGATTCTTCTCAAATTCCGAGTAGTACTGATTATAGAATTCCACTTCAAATTTCTCCCAGGTGGTCTCACCGTGGAACTTTCCTTCCACGCCTTCCCACCATACCGCGGCCACTCCCTCCAGTAACCTGGTAGCAACTGTCAGCTTTATGTCAAGCCCGATCTGCATATCCCTAGCAGCCTCATTTAGTTTCTTGATCCAGTCGGCAGCCACAGATATGTCACCCTTGCCATCGAATGACTTACACCACAAGGCCCTCGCCTCCTTGAGGTATTTGGAGATTTTTACACAGAAACCTCCTCCTTGTACCCCCTGTGTCGCCACAGGGATGGCCACTGAAGCCCTCCGGCTTCCCTGACGCGATCCTCCCCGAGAGGCACGCCTAGCTTGGCGCCTAAGATCTCTCCTCAGCTTTTCCTTTTGGTACCACTCAAACAATTCACCCATCTGGGCGAATTTGGCATCACTCTCATCATTGTCGTCATCAGTGTACGTATCACCCCCATCGTATGGGGTCTCCTCCTGTTCTGTCTCGAGAACATAAGTAGAGTCATAATCCTCAGTGTGAGTTCCGTGCACCGAGCTAACATGGCCATCGCTCACGGTTTGAGCCCGATGACCTCCACGGCCTCCACGGCCTCCACGACCTCCACGGCCTCCACGGCCTCTCCTACCGCCTCTCGAGCCCCGAGATGCAACCTGGCTAGCCCCTTCGGACGTCACCGGTGTTTGCCCTCTCGGGTTGTTCCTCGTATCCATGCGTCTACCCTCCATTTCTGAAAGAAATTTGGAATGAGCCATTAGACTCGTATCAATGTCAATTGACGGAATAGTACAAAAGACACCACTTGGTCCAACATTATGGCCAGCAAACTGTTAAGGGTACCGTCTTAACAATAAGAGGTCAATAACTTGGTTTCCAACGGTTCCTTAAGTACAAAAACTTTTGCTCATGGTTTTGTTCAAAACTTTTTGATGATACTATATTGAGAGGTTAATTATATAGTTTAGAAATCGATGGCTCTGATACCACTTAATTGTCACGCCCCCGGACCGCGTCCGTGCCACGTAGACAACCGCCGTACAACCCAATAAGAACAACGTAGTTCATCGTTATCAAATCATACAAGGCGTCCGTTAAGTTCTATTGCCAAGTCGATTAGTAAACCCATACAATCAACATCAATATATATTAGTCAAACAAATGCGGAAAATAAGATATGTTTGATTCTTAGCCACACGTGGCAAATACGGGCACGCAGGCCCCCAAATGTTTTGATAGAAAACATTGTTAAAATATATCCATGAGCAGTTCATCAATTTTGAATAAGAATGGAAGCACGAACCACGTCTTCCTCCTTGATCAATCACCCTAGGCGAAGGTGCAGGTAGTAGGACTCTAGCCTCAACCTGAAAAATGTGAGGGCCCCCGAAGGGGTCAGTACTCCATAGAAGTACTAGTGACAAGCAGGCTATATGAGGAATAACTAATGTTTCAGACACGAGACCCAAAAATAGGATGATACATACATATATATATATATACATATATATATATATATATATATATATATATATATATATATATATATATATATATATATATGTGTGTGTGTGTGTGTGTGTGTGTGTGTGTGTGTAACCATTGTTACGCCATTCCCAAGATAATACATACTGTATATACTTGTAAAATACTTGACCCATAGGTCGTTTCCTCACAAAAAGTCTTTTAGAGATAAGGTACTTACCCAACCTTTCCCCTTTCATCCTGAATGCCTGGCTCACGAGCTACATTCTACCTTCATAATATCCTACCGAGTTTCGGCAGTGTTTACCGTCCCGGGGATGCTCAACCCCACCGAGTTTTAGGATCATTCACTGTCCCGAGGATACTCAACCTCAACCGAGTTTTAGGATCATTCACTGTCCCGAGGATACTCAACCTCAACCGAGTTTTAGGATTGTTTACCATCCTGAGGATACTCAACCTCAACCGAGTTTTAGGATTGTTTACCGTCCTGAGGATACTCAACCTCACCGAGTTTTAGGATTGTTTACCGTCCTGAGGATACTCAACCTCAACGAGTTTTAGGATTGTTTACCGTCCTGAGGATACTCAACCTCACCGAGTTTTGGGATCGTTTACCGTCCCGAGGATACTCAACCTCAACCTTATTTCTAACCAAACCCTAACCTGGATATGGCTAACCTTTCATTCACTTAACTATGGACAATACCTAGTCCTATAGTCATATAATAATCCCTAGTAACCAACGTGGGCGGGTCCCACTTGAACGACCCACGTTAACCTGCTCAAAACTGCCTGTTTTGGGCCTAGTCCAATACCCGGTCGGGTATCCAACCTCACCCGGTCGGGTAGGTCGGGGCAGAAGCCCCTGGAACTGATTTTACTTGAGACCCGGTCGGGTCCATACCCTTACCCGGTCGGGTCTAGTAAGACAGTGGCTTCTGGAGCCATTTTTAATCAATAACCGTTCGGGTATGTACCCATACCCGGTCGGGTATCACCTTTGCCTCGGCGGTCAACGCCCGTTTGACCGCCCAAACGGAGTCCGATTAACGCGAAATTTTATACGCATGTACTCCTTGACGTCCTTGATCCAAAAATACCATTTTGGATCTCTAGAGAATTGTACATAATAAGTTATCACATTTTTAATCACCAAACATACAAAACATGCTTTTCAACTATGTTTTATATATAACCGTGGCATAAGCCAATACTTGATTTACTTTAATCATTCCATAAAACATATACTTGATTACTTTAGGTAATCTCATGCCTCAATCAAAGGTTATAAAGCATATAGCCGTCTTCTCACCTTAATGAAGCTTATGAAGTTCTAGCCTTTCTTATTGAGCTCCGGTGAAACTCCGGTGAACTTCAACCAACTCCGGCGACAACTCCGGCGACCCTTTCAACCCCGTGAAAGTTCTTGAAATACCTTATACAAGTTAATAACAAGGTTTTATCATCATAAAACCCATATCAATACAAACAACCTCGAAAAGGTTATTTTCCGGTGAACCCGTCAACTTGGCTCTCAAGGTTCGTTTTGGGTATAAACCAACCCTTCAATCCCCATTCTACACTTTTACATGTGTAGAAATATCCTAGGAGTGTGAAATTTGATTAAAGAGAAGGAATAGGATTAATGAAGTCATTACCTTATTAATCACAAGTTTTCGCACCTAAACTCCTCTTTTCTCTTCTCTTTTCCTTCCTTCTTCCACCCTTGCTCTTGGTGCGTGTATGGTGGATGAAAATGGAGTATTTCCAGGTCTTTTCTCTCCTCTTTGAGTGTCTTGGTCGAGCCTATGGGTATAGGGAGTGATTTGGGGTGTGTTTTGGCTCTTCCTATGATGGTAAGAGGTGAGGGGTCCCTTGGAGTCAACTCTTGTCTCAACCTCCCCTTCCATCCTCCTTCCATCACACCAGCCGACCCCCTCTCTCATTTGTCTCAAATGATTTCGTGGGGTGGCCCCCACATATGTGGGAGGTCATCCCTTTGTGTCCCCGAGTGTACACTCGATCCCGAAAGTTGTATTTTCCGGACTGTTTTAACTATATTTCGTTTTATCGGGTAAAATGAAATATCTCTCATCCTTCCAATTATTATTGGCTATAAGAATGAATGTATATTCGTCATCTTTAATTTGGTGGTCTCCATAATTTATTATGGCTTTTTATCTGATATTCCTTCGGTACCGATAAATGGGCTTTATATGCACAACTGGCCAACACGCATGGTTTATATGGCCCAACTTGGACATCCACCATCATATACATATTATCTAGACCCAGATGAATATAATATGTGGTCCCAATAATATCGGGCGGCCCCCACTTCTGGTGTGGGCCCCACGTGGATTTTACTATCCACGTAAAAGAATGATAAAAATTTACAATCGCGTAAAGATGAGTTTATTCATTTCTCAAGGTTCAGTACATGAATTGATAAAGTACAAATACTTGGGGGCGGTGTTACACTGATACCAATTTGATGGGAAAAACAGCCCCAAATGGTAACTAATAAAATGCGGAATTAATCTCCGTTTGGCTAAAATTTCCCCAACTTGAATGAACCTTTGAGGATGCAAACAAATAGGGTGTTCTTAATGCAATTAGAACACACACAATATTGCTGCCACACACCAATATAATCAACTAAAACAGTAAGCACACACCACACACAAACACCGGAATTTTAGCGTGGAAAACCCGTTAACTAGGGAAAAACCACGGGACCATTTTGGCCGCTTAAATCCACTATCATCATCAAAGGAGCAGTACAAAGTCTTCTCTAGATAATACTAGAGGCATACAAAATCATCATATCCTTGGAAGTAAGCACATCAAGGTGTATGGAATCAAATAGAGCCAAGATAAGAAAAATATCACCAGAAAAATAGCTACTGTCCAGACCAACGAAACCCGACCTCCGGACCTCCAAACTCGATCTCCACCGTCCAGAATGTTGGCCCATATGCTGTGAAGCTGCTGTCCAAAAATCACGACGATCCAACGGTTCAATCTCCGGGAAATGGAATTTTTCCTGCTGCTGCCTGCTGAAAAACGGGATGAGCATCTGCTGCTCTCTTTCTGTCCTCATGTGTTGAGATAGTAGCTAACCCATATTTTATTATTAGCTCCCAAAAAAGAAAGTCAAAGAAGACTTTTAATGGACTCAATACTTGGGCTTTCCTCATGGGTCAAAAACAAAAAAAACCCAACATCATTGTCTCTTAATTGTAATAATACTACCTAATAAACATATGATAGATTGATAGCTAGTAATGATTCACTTCAGTACCCACCTTTATATTAAGTTAGTGTTACAAACTTCAATTCATTGTTATAGAGAGATCGAGAGTAATAAGTAAAAATACATTATCATCGACGACGTACTACTATATACGTAGTACTCCGTAGGTTATTGCCTTGATGGGTCTAATACTCTCATGCCATGTATTTTTATTGATCATCCGGCTAAAAAACTCTAAGATGTGCTCTGGTGCATGTGCTCCTCCATTGATTAGAGAAATCACGGGATTAATTAAAACTATGTTGCCATGTTCATTCGATACTATGAAAGTTTATTATTGTTTCCTTTTCGATGCATCAAAAAATGATAGTTTATTATTGTAGTTCAAATAAAGGAATATTAAATGGTAAGAATGTTGAATATACATCCTACTAAACTAATAATTTTAAAAATTGTAATAGATATATATTTTTTAACTTGTATCATGATTATCTTAGCTTTGTTATAAAAGTAAATAAGTAATAGACATTATATTCACAAAGATATTCTCGAATAGTTAATTAGGGAATAGTCCGTATATTAAAGAATATGTTGATTGATTGATTTTGAATTTGTTTGAAGTGCTTGCGGCTTGGTTTCGATTGAAGTATCCTCACATTGCTCTTGGTGCCTTAGCTTCATCAGCTCCAATTCTCTACTTTGATAATATGACACGTGCAGATGGATATTATTCCGTAGCTTCCAAAGATTTCAGGGTATCGAGTCAATATTATAAGCTATTATTATTATTATTACAATGCACTATTACTATTATCGTCCATAAAAGTATTCATGGAATATAAATATAAATATGTGCTAGAAAAATAATTGAAAATAAATTAGAATTTTACTTCAAATTAAGACATAAATTTATATATTCATGAATGCGTGATGATTTAAATCTAATTATATATACTTCGTATAAAGAAAAAAAGGAACCCAATGATCATGCCTTTAATTGAAAACATATAGTTTTATGCACATGTATGCTTGTCTTGATATGACATAAACCTCTGAAGTATGAGATTAGTTGACTTCATACAATATTTTATACTATCGTATATATTACGAAGTATATTTCAAATTCATGCGATGCAGGGCGATTTATAATATGTGACAATCAAATTCAATTTATATAATTTTAATGCAAACAATTATTATTATTAAAGAATGAAGACCCATAAAAGAAAAAAAAATTAGTTTTAAAGATTAACTGCATTTTATATTCTTTAGTAATAAGAATTAATGAGTATTCTACCTTCTAAGATATCCAAAAAAATATTAGTGTATTAAAAACATAACAGTTAACAGTTTAATTGATATAATTTTTTTCAAAATAAAATTATAATTTAAGTAATAAAATTACAAGCAAATCAAGATAAAAATAAGAGAATAATTTTAAAATGTGCATTGAGATTTCGATCCCGTCTTAAGGTTCTCATTATAAAATAACACAATTAGTTAGGTAATAATTAAATAAGGTAAATTGGTTATATTTTTTTTTTTTGATCATGTAAATTGGTTATATTTTGAAAAATAGTTTTGATGGGATATATTATAATAATGATGTCATTGATGATAATTGTCATGTTATGGATGTATTATTTTTTGATATTTGATTGAGCAGCCACAATTGTCATGTCATTGATGATAATTGTCATTTTTTGATTGAGCAGCCACAATTTTACACAATATTATAATAGGAAAAATGATGTTCGAATAGGCACTACGTATTAGGCAAGAATTTAAGGAATTGAAGAAGGATATGTTTAATCACAAAAACAGCAAGTAAAATACCAGGTAGAAGTTAAAACTTTAAATCAAGATCCACCTGCAGGTTCCTGATAGTATTTTCCTCAAATCTATCTCTGCGATTTGTTTTGATATTGTTAATACATGGATCTGAAATCAGAGTAGATGAGGGTTGAAATCAAAGCAAGTCTAAAAAGAAGCAAAGGGACAAAAAGAACGAACAAGAAGAAACTAAAGATCATGGTAGTTGATGTCCGACTGTGGAACAACGAAGAAGGGAGATCGAAGAAGAAGGGCCTCTGATACTACGGAAGTATCAAACAGGCCTTGTTAGAGTCAAGGGTAAACTCTAGGAACAGAGAAAAGCAGTTGAGAGATAAGAAGAAGCAATAGCAACTGTTTTCAGCATATCCCCTTGGGTTCACTACCCCTGGGAGTTAAATACAACTAGCTTCAGTTACAATTTAGTAATACCGTACTGCTACTATACTACTTAATCCAAGACATAATCATTCAAATGAGTGGGAAGTTTCTTCTGGCGAGTGGACTGTCTGAGGTGGTTTGGAGGTGTGTGAGGGGAAAGGTGGGCATCATGGGTAGTCCTGGTAACTGCCGTATCTCTCTCCTCCGCTTCGGAAAACACCTTGTCCTCAAGGTGTAGATAAGGGAATAGTTCAGCTAGGCGGTGTGCACCAATCCATGAAGTGTCATCCTGGGAACTGCCGGGCCAAAAAACTAGGACTTGTTTTTCAAGACGCCCATTGCGCAGAAGTTGCCGGGACCCACAAACTGTGAGGGGAGGATTGATTGGACTTTCTAGTAAGTCTGCAGGTAGTGTAGGGGAAGCTTGCAGCTCGATGCCTTGGAAAGAGCGGAGTAATGACACATGCATGGAAAACCGGATGGATGTGTGATCCTGGGGGCAACTCCAGCTTGTATGAAACAGAACCAATTCGTTTCAAGACCTTGAAAGGACTGTAATAACGTTTGGATAATTTATGGGAACGTCGTTGACCCACAGAATTTTGACGAAATGGTTGGAGTTTGAGAAGAACAAGATCACCCTCTTGAAACTCAACCTCACGACGATGTTTGTTATCCTTTTGCACCATCCGTGTTGGGCCTGTCGTAAAGATTCCTTCAAAAATTGGAGGGTTTCATCTATGGCTGTTAGCAAGGTATCAAGGGCTTGGGGGGTTTCAAAGATTGGAGGGTTTCAAAGATTCCAACTCAATATCAGTAGAGTTGGGGGTGTAGCATGGAAGTATAGAAGGAGTACGTATGTACAATGCATGAAATGGTGTCATCTTAATGCTCTCACTGTAACTGATGTTGTAACAAAATTTGGCCCAACTCAAAAAGTCAACCTATGCAGACGGTTTCTCCATAATAAAAGCACGAAGATATTGCTCTAAACCTCTGTTTACCACTTCTGACCGGCCGTCGGTTTAAGGATGATATGCAGTACTGTGTTTCCGCTTCGACCCACTAAGTTCGAACAGTTTACCCCAAAAGTGGCTGAGGAAGAGAGGGTCCCGATCTGAGATGAGTACACTCGGAAATCCATGCAATTTGACAACCATATCAACGAATGGCATTAAACTTGGCAGGAAGAGCTCCAAAATGAGCGAATTTGGTGAGGCGATCAACTACAACCATAATGGCAGAATATCCATGGGATGGTGGAAACCCGACAATAAAATCCATTGTGATCTCGTTCCACACTTGGTCTAAAATTGGAAGAGGTTATATCAGTCCCGCAGGGGCCTTGGTAAGGTATTTCGTTTGCTGACACACCAAACATGACGCTACGTAATCTTCCACTGTTCGGCGCATGTTTGGCCAATAGAAGGAGGCAGACAACTTAACCATCGTACGTTTAATGCCACAGTGACCAGACATCGGGGAGGAGTGAAACTCATGAAGCATATCATTAATCAACGATGAGTGAGGGCTCAAGTAATATCTCAATTTGTAAAAGAGGATCCCGTTGTTGCATGCGTAATCTGATGAGAGTTCTCCAACATTCAATTGTTCATGCAGACGCTTGAGATCGGGTAGTCGGGAGTTCTCTGTACTGAGCACTGTAAGAAATTCTGGGACTAGGCAGTTAGCTATCATCAGGTATTCCGCTTGTTCATGGACACGAGAAAGGCCATCAGCAGCGGTGTTATTGACCCCAAGTTTGTATTCAATCTGAAACTCAAAACCTAAGAGTTTACTAACATACTTATATTGCTCAAGAGTGAGTACTCTCTGATGGAACAGCTCTTTATGGCTCTTGTGATCCGTTCGGATAATGGAGTTTCCCAAGAGATATTGTCACCACTTACACATAGCTTTAGTGATGGAGTAGAGTTCTTTAATATAAGTGGAAGCAAGTTGCAGTTTCAGTCTGATTTTCTTGCTGAAATATGATACAGGTTGCTCTTGCTGCATCAGAACTGCCCCAACTCCCACATTAGATGCATCGGTTTCCATAAAAAAACCTCTGTGAACTTTGGCAACCTCAAGACAGGTGTCGTGGTAAGCATCTCTTTGAGATTCTGAAAGGATTTAGTGGCCATCTCTGTCCACGAAAACTGTTCCCTTCACAGCAAAACTGTAAGGGGAGCCACTATTGTTGCATATCCTTTGATAAAACGCCTATAATATCCTTCCAATCCTAGAAAACCCCGAAGTTGTCTAACCGTCTTTGGAATTGGCCATGAAACCACTGTTGCCACCTTGTTGGGATCCACACGCACAATATCTCTTACGATAATATGCCCAAATATTCAGTAGATTCCTAACAAAACACACATTTTGTCAATTTTAGGTAAAACTTATGTTGTAGCAAACAAGATAGTACTTAACGTAAGTCTCCCAAATGTTCCTCCATTCTCTTGCTGTATAGTAATATGTCATCAAAGAAAACTGTGACAAACTTGCGTAAGAAAGGGGCAAATATTGAGTTCATCGCTGCTTGGAAGGTAAATGGAGTATTCTTCAACCCGGATGGCATTACTAAGAACTCAAAATTGCTGTCATGAGTGCGGAATGCCATCTTGATGATATCACGGTTATGGATGCGTATTTGGTGATACCTTGCCCATAAATCCAACTTGGTGAAGATGGAGGCCCCTCCTAATTCATCAAACAGTTCATCAACAGTGGGTATCGGGAAGTTATCCCGAATGGTGACTGCATTCAGAGCCCGATAGTCCACACAAAATCGATAAGTACCATCTTTCTTGCGAACTAGTAGCACCGGAGATGAGAACGAACTTTTTCTAGGTTGTATGATACCTTGCTCCAGCATCTCTTTAACCAACTTCTCCATCTCACTTTTCTGAAAATGTGGGTAGTGGTAAGGGCGCACGTTGACAGGTTTGGTGTTGGGTAATAGGTGTATTTGATGGTCAAATAGACGCTTTGGGGGTATGGAATTTGGAGGGTCAAATAATTGGGAAAACTCCAGGAGTAACCACTCGAAAGTTTCTGTGAGACTTGAGGGAAGGTGAAACTGGGTTGAGTATTGAGGGTTGATGGTTACAGGGAGAGCTTCTGGGCTAAATTGGTAAATAGCACAAACACAGTTAACTTCATTAGCATCCGCAACTGCTTCCAACCTAGCAAAAGATGTCGGCTGAACGTTTGCTACAGTTTCACCCCATAATGTCACCATTTTCCCATTATGCTTGAACTTCATGGTTAAGTTTGCATAATCATGTGCCACGGTCCCAAGACTCTGTACTCAGTGAATGCCCAATACCAAGTCAGGTCCAACAATGGGTAGGACATGAAGATCCGTGTGAAAAGTTGTGCCCTGCAGGTGTACCTCAACATCTGGACAATAATATTGGCATAGAAGCGTGTCACCATTGCCAATATACACTTTGAATGGTTTAATAGAATGGGTACGTAGCTTAAGGGATTCAGCTCTAAATGGCTTGATGAAGTTATGGGTGCTCTTGGTGTCAAT